TCAAGCAGTTTGAGCTACAGTAGCTCGTCTGTTGGATCGGACCTACACGGGCCAGCCCTTCCACTTCCGACGTGAAATCTGAAAGCATGGCTGCCCATGACCCTGTCTCCCGGTTCACCACTTTTCCACTGCAGACCGGAACAGTCCCAAAAGAAGCTGCAGTTTTTGGAAGAAGCTCTGACCCAGTCGTCCTAGCTATCACAATGTGGTCCTTGTCAAAAGTCGCTCAGATTCTCATGCTGCCCATTTTCCTGCCTTCGTAACACATCAACTTTAAGAACAAAATGTTTACCTTGCCTGCCCTGATATATCCCACCCCACTGACCAGAGCCATGATATACCCAGATTTAATCAGTGTTATTCACGCTCAGTGCTCATATGGAGTGTGACTTTAAAATATACATTTGGTCAAATGTAATCTTTTACCATAAAAATACAATTTTTAAAAGCAGAATTGAAGACCTGGCCACAAATTACCTTTGTAATTTTTGTCTTTTTAAAAAAAAAAAAAAAAATTATAAACATACAGTACAGTACATCATGGCAGCCATTTTACATCCAGGTAGGAAAAAAATAAATAAAACACTAATTAGATATGGTAATTTTATCTTAAATGGTTTATATTGTAGAAAACCCCCGTTTTTTAAATGTCATTATTATATATGAATAAAAGTATTTTATAATGACCCCCACATTTTTAGTCAATAGTATCACATTTCTGGCATTTGTAACAAACCTCCCGGCGCTATTTTCCGCTAAAACATAAGCTAAAGCTAGCCAGGAATAGCTAGCATGAAACATACTACGCTACCAATTGTTCAAATTCCTCACTCCATTTAATCATTAATAAGGTCTGATTTAACTCCTATTTAGCTAGCGCTGCCCTCAAAAACCTTTAAAATATAATCTATCATCAGCAACAGCAGTAAACTAACTAATGTTAACCTAGCTATGTGTTAGGTTAACTAACCTAACCAACCAACCTCCCTTCAACTGTGATGAGCTATGTATGCTTACAAACTAGACAGAAAGAAACATATGTAAACTTAGTCTACAAAGTGGATTTTTGTTTTCCTACAAACCATCTTTAACCTCTTTATCTTTATCGGTTATTTTTTCTTCCTGCGCAGTAGTCCGTTATGCCCTGAGTAAAAGAAAGACTTGGGAAATGGGAAAACTTTCTTCTCACCACAAGAAGCCTTCAAGTGGTTCCCACTGAATGCCCTGCCAGTACAAAGCCAGTGGCCAAAAGAGAAACATTTACCATTGATAAGTTGACTTTAAACTCTTGTAAGCATTCAAAGTGATCATGAGGTGGGGCCCATGTCCAAAAAGTTGTTCAAAGTCTAAAACACGCTGTTAAAGTTAGAAATTTCCTAGTTCCCATTCAATGATGAACGCAACACCAAATCAAGCATTTTAAAATGCAATCAGTGTTTGCTTTTACACTTAATTTACTTATGGTTCAATGCCGTCAGTTGAGAGGCCAAGGGGTTTGGAATATATATTGTTAATGTGAATGGGGTCCAAAAAGGTTTTAATTTAGATTATTATGATTATTATTAGTGGGCAGCCCAACCCCTGCATATTGGGACATAAGTGGGCCTCACACTTAAAATGGATCAGCATTTCTCTGAGTAGACCATGAAATCTATTTCAATGTCTAATCTGTTTCATGTTCCTGAGTTTTGCAATTGGTGCATTATTGATTACATTTCATAATGAAGAATTATATTTTGTTAGTGTGTGTGTGTGTGTGTGTGTTGTGTGTGTGTTGTGTGTGGGTGTCTGTGTATACCAAAAGTCCATCCCAGACCAAAACAATGTAAACAACTTATATACAAGTAGCGCGTTGCAATGGATCAAACAGTTACTAATCACACAATTTTCATAAGGCTCAGTCTTAAAACACATAAGTTTGTTGACCTTCTCTCCCAAGCTTGTCACAAAAAGTTCGCTACAGGAAAGGCTCCCTTTTGTTTTGCGCCAGGTGATTAGTCCCCAGCCCTCACAATAATTCTAAAATTCAACTCTTGTCTTAGTACAATGTGAACAATGTGTCTAAAAAAATCAGGCCATTAATAACATGCTCCCCCAGATTCCTTTTATACATTTATATAAAAGTACTATTTATACCTATGGCTTGGATATGTATCAATATTGCCCAGTAATGCCCTAGCCCAATCATTAAATTCAATAATTTAATCCAATAGTCTTTTGTCAATCCATTGCTGCATATGGCATTGCAGAGCCATCACCGCCCATTTAATTGTCTGGACCGGTGCCCAGAGATGTTGACACCTGCCTTTAAAGCGCAGATTTCTTGCGTGCATGCGCATTGAACGCTGCATCTTTCCAAGCTGCGGGTTATAAACACTGCTGCCGGTCGGCATTTATCCATACGTAATAAATAAATAGTCTGTATTTCACTCTCCACCTTATGTCAAGGCACAAAATCACAGAACAGCCCTGACAGAACCCCAGACTGCACTGTCAGCTATTAGGCAGACAGACAGCGTGCAGGGAGAGAGAGATGCTGCCAAGGTGTGGTTGTTTCTGCTGTAAACACTGAGACGTCTAATGGTTTGGCACTAAAGGTGTATTCTAGTTCCACCAGTATTACAGTTCCATAGCTCTGCCTTATCGTCCTTCAGCCACTTGTGCGCGGCCCCCTTTCATCCCAAGAAGTAAATACAAATACAGCAAGACAATAACACAAGCTATGAATCAACAACGCAAATACTGTATATTGTTTAATACAGCTACTCTTCTGACCAGCAACTGTGCAGTTAATTTAGTTGTCCATCCTGTTTTTGAGTCAAGGGAAAATAAAAGAACACTGTTCCAATATTGTTTCTGACTTAACTTGGAGTGTGTCCACATCCTATTCAGCCCACTCATCCTATCCTAGCAGAAAAGGCAAATCATCTCACCAGTGATACACAGCTCCGACAATGACATTATTAACGCTATTAGGATAATATAATGTGCACTCCCTGGTATGGCTACAAAACCCACTACATAGACAGAACACAACAAAATGCCAATAGATACTACACGTTATACCAATAAATCCATATTCTTGATCCAAACCATGGTTCTACCCTCAACAATATAAACACCCCTCGTGGTCCCAATATTGTCTATCACTCTTGATGAAGTTGTGGTTGTTTTTTCCTTAAACAATATCTCCTTCTTACACTTTTATTTGTGTTTGAAAAACCAATTAATAACCCCCTCTTAAAAACCCATTTTCTATACAATTGCCTTTATGTGATGTGGTCCTTTTATGTTTATTTTTTACTCCCAACCGTCCTTTGATCCTGTTCTACTTATTTTATTATTCTATTCTCCTTATTAGTCTACTTTATTTTCATTCCATCTCTATTATTCATGCTGAAAAAGTTAATACTGGTTCTGATAGAAAGTTGTCACACAGTGCATCACAGTTTGTTGCATATGGGGGCTGCTCGTGTATATATCCAGTGTATCAGCAGGGTGGTGCACAGCTGTAACCATCCACATATATAAAGATGGACGAATGACAGCCTCTGAAGTGTATCCAAAACATCTCGATTGCCCCCTGGTGGCTGGCTACAGTATATGTCATAAAGGCTGTTGTCTCCATGTTAGCAGATGAGACATGGGACAAACTAAAGTACACACAAAATAATTTCTTCCCAAGGATGGTTTCTGCAATGGCATATTAGGAAGTTCTTTCCACGTTGATGTATGTTCAAGTGTTCATTTTTCTGATATGTTTTGGTTTTAATGTGTTATTTTAAGCTATAAAAAAGGGGGTTTCATGTCATGATTGACAGCTGAACCGTGATCACGACTGGGTTTGCCGGGCATACGGGTGGGACTCTTAGCTTATAATACTTTTTTTAGTAAACAGGTTTTTATTACATATAGTTTGGGGTCCTTTTTCCCTTCATTGGATAGGACTGCTAAAGATAGACAGGAAAGGGGGAGAGAGTGGGAACCCTAACCCAAAGGGCCACAGGTCGAATTCAAACCCATTTCTACTGCACCAAGGACCCAGGTATCGGGGGCCCCAGCTCTGCCAGGTGAGCTACCAGGGCCCCAGTCAATAGGATTTTGAATTTAGTATATTTTTACTTCATACTTTTTCATACTACTTTTTAAGAGTTTAATCTTGAATATTATATTGACCTTTTACTGTATGTCATTCTCCCTCTTGTTTTCATCACCATCCAATAGAATAAGATCAGTGTTTTCTTTCGCCAGTGTCGACACCATCAAGGGGTCTCAGGGTGGAGAAGCTGGAGTCCAGGAGGCTTCATCCACCCCGAACACTCCAGTCTCAGCTGCAGCTGAGGCTTGACTCCACTAAGACTGACTCAGATGTGATCAGTGACAACCTCCCTACTCATACACCTGAGTCCAGGCAGTCCAGCCCATCAGGTCATGGTGGCAGTCTAGAGGGCGACTCTGACATCATGTATCTGTTGGCATCAATATGCAAAGATCTGTTGACCTCAGCCAGCACAGAAAACATCACCAGAGAAGAGCTGGTCTGCCTCAGGTAAGCACCTACAAAGACACTCATTCAACTCACCTGGAAGTTATTCCAGGTTTAGTTCTATGAATCTTCCCTCCTGTACTACAACTAAAACATGCACATGG